CACACACACACACACAGACAGAAGACCTTTAGTGACAATGATACCCTCATTAGGTGTCCTAGCAGGTCCTCGCTAACTAACTAACACTCACCTGCTGTATGTCCAGGCTGGTGACATCCAGATGGACGATGCATCTCTCCAGACTGTCCATCATACCATTGCCATGGTAATGGGCCAGGAGGTCCCTCATGATGGGCGTGGTGAGGTGGCCAAGGCGGTCCGCAACAATGTATGACTCCAGTGACTCCAGAAAGACACCCTTAGCAACCGTGTTCTCCCCCAGCCGAGCATACAGCTGGTTGAACAGCAGGTCGCTGCACGTGCACGCACACACAAAAACAATAATTAAAATTAGGTTTCATATAGTTACTGTGCTTCTTTGGCTTCGGCCAACTTTAACCTGTAGTTCCATTCAGTTGTTTTAGACCAAGGGAAGGAAAGGCCTTTTGCTTCTGATCTGTTTCTTGTTTACACTGACATTTATGTTATCTGGCGTCAAAAAGAGCTAATAAGAAAATAACTTATTGCAAGAATCAATAGTGCAGTCACTACATTTGACTCCCTCTTTAAACTTGATACTTGGCACTCAGTTTTGCAAAGTTCAGGTATCGGAATCAGTATTGGGAAGGAAAAGGATTGGGAAGGATATTTGATAGAAATATAAAGACTTTAATTAAAGAGATTAATGGGAACCATTCATATAAAGCTGCGACATATACAGCAAATCCGCTGTGTCCTTATATTCCATGCATCTGCCATCAGCTACTATCATTATCAGTTGAAAGCTTATATATACTTACGCCCTCTGTAGCAGGAGACAGTAATCCACCAGCACTGGAACCACATCCTGAAAGCACCCGAGAGGGAGAGGGAGAGGGAGAGGGAGAGAGGGAGCAAGAGAGAGAGAGAGAGAGAGAGAGATTGACTTCTAATGTTCTTTAATGAATCATGTCCACAAATAAAAGAGTAAGAAAGAAAAAGCCCAAGGCGTTCATACTGACTGTTTCAGTGGAAAGTATATGTACTCGAGAACTGTACTTTATTTGGCAGTTCCATTGTTAGCTACTTTATATTTCTTATCCACGACATTTCAAAACCCACACTAAACTTTACACTACATTTATTTGACCAACTATCTAGTTACGAGTTACTTTACAAATAAGGATTGTAAATATATAAAAGAAAAACATATGATAAGGATACACTGTAAAATAAAATGCATTAAACTAGAGCTTTTGATGAAAGAAAACTCAGAACTTGGAGCAGCTTCTTCTTTGTGTATAAAGAAAAAGTGATATTGTAAATCCTATTATATATCATATATATATAACAGGTATAAAAATAAAATAAAACATGTGAGGATGTGTGTTCTTTAGGGCATGTTAGCTTACGTGGAAGTGTTGCTCCATCACTTGGATCTTGCCATGTTCTGGACACTTCTTCAAAGCATGCTCTGCAAACTGGAAAATGACCTCTACCATCTGAACACACAGAGAGTGGTACGAGTTCAAAAATGAGCACACGAATGTCAGAGTACACTTTCCAGAGGAGATAGACGTAATTTAAAGGACCAATGAGTAGGAAAAGCTCTACAAAAGGCCCTATTTAGAGCCACATATTATTTTTTTCCGAAACATGGTGGTTCAACATGGTGGACTCATTCTAAGGTAACAAAAACGTACAATTATTATATTCAGGTGATTATACACTAGTGAAAACATACCTATGAATATTATATTCTAATTCTGCCGATAGATCCTCCTAAATGTTACACGCTGGACATTTAACACAGCAGGCAGGTTTTCTGTTCTTACCTTGTCACCCACCACTCCCTTCCTTTTCACTGGATCTCCAAACAGGCCTAGAATAAGCACACGTCACACATTATTTTCGTATCTTTTATCCGTAAAACTGATTTTTATTCAAAATATCTCTAATTAATCATAATTATTGCATACTGAAGCACACATTGTAGCTCCTTCAAGTACATGTAAATCAAGTGATAAATGAATAATTATTATTAAATATTCAGTCTCTTTCAATAATTATCACAATACCACTATCAAGTGAGACGCTTAAAGAGTAGTAACTTAGGTAGGTAACTTTTATAAAGCTTTGTTTGTTTCATTGGCCTCTTCTTGCACAGTAGCTGGTAATGAGATTGTGAGTTTTCAGACAATGTGCTTGCATTAACCCTTAGACTAATTGCTAATCAGTGACAGGACCAGATAATTGTGAAGCAACAAATGTAGCTCTTATGCTAAAAGTAAATGCTTCGGTTGAGTCCATTCCTTGGGTAACCCTTCCATTATCGTCACAATAGGAACAACATGTTTCAGCACGTCACAGAGATCCTCAATCATATGGTTTATTTTTGTGATGGGGACTAATAATAGTTATAGTAATGGTCTTATGCGCCTGGGTGTCCGCTGTTATACAGGACGTGGAACTGTTGAGACTAAGACCAAGGCCTCAGCTGGGACAGTCTACAGTCCAATAATTGAACATTACTTATATAAAGTGTTTTTTGAAAATAATTGCATTGATCATGCCGTAACAACTACAAAACCAAACCAAAATGGAACCAATACCATACTTTTGCCAGTATGGACATGAAATAGGTCTCAACTTGCATTGTGATGGTCTTCAAAAGGTTAAGTTCATACTCCTGAAACCTGCAGAAACCTCGGGAGACTGACCAACTGAGCTTTTTATTAATCAGTCCTAAATAAACCATATTACCACATTCCTTGATCAAAGGACCACATCAGTGCAGGGCAATTTCAGTAAACAGAAGTGGAACCACACAAACCTAAGGAAAACCTACTGTGAACAGACTGATTTACAGACGGCTGGCTGTGTGATGTGCATTATACCCACCAACCACAGCCTTAGCAGTTCCCTCATGGAAGGACCAGGCCAGAGAGAGAGCCTCGACAAAATGCTCCTGTTTCAGCAGGCAGTCTATACGCTGGACACAGACAGAGGAACGTTGATCAATGCACAGCGATGAGCTATTGGTCTACTGACGGAAACTAAATCATCTCCAGTATAAAGGAGCTCAAGAAGAAACGGAACTATTAAAATATTCTATTCATTTATTGAATGTATCATCATCAGTGCTTAAAAACTAGTTTTCTGATACAGTATTTATTTAGTTAAGTTAACAATAAACACACATACAATACAAACAGTGTCAGGCTGTCCATCTGCATCTGTAATTCTTTGTAATTAAAAGTGATTTGTGAAGAGCTACAGTTGCATATGTACTTAATTATAACAACATCATACATACCTCTCTCCAGTTCCTTAGAGTCATAATGTGAGCTGACTGCAAGACAAGAGAATAGGATCATATAATTAGATAGACCCAATACCAAGACCAATACATTTAGGGAACTAAGATACACTTATGACACGTTGAGCGTAACGATATATAGTCCGCCTCTTCACTAGAGCAAATTTTTTTATTATGCTGTTCTAATTTGCAATGGTTTATGGTTTATTATTTTTTTCAAAAGATTAGATTAAACTACACAAAATTATCATTTGTTTCGGCTTTGCTCTGTTTTCTTTCTAGCAAGTGGTCAACAACAATTACTGCTGACCAATGTGCAGAGAGAGACCACAAACAGAAATGGCAGCTCACAGCTGTTGAGCACACACAGACAACAAATAGAACAAATACACACATACAACACAGTACCTTGGTGCCCAAATAGACGATCTGTCCTGCGTAGCTCGAGACGGACTGGTAGCAGGCCTTCTCTCCGACTAAAGCCTGGAACACAGACCAGTGTTAGACACACAAACACACACACACACAGAGGTCCAAGTGCATTATCACTAGCTAACTCCCACCAATAAACCCTCACATTAGCTTCTGCTGCAGATGGATTGCAGCCAACCTATACATGGCATGAGAGAGATGCTTTAAGGAAATGTGAAACCCGTTGTTCTAACTGTTCTAATGTAAGTGGGAAGACTTTTCCAAAGAGACCGTGATATGACAATGTTAAAACCAGCAGATTTTTTGCAGCTCGGGATTGAATCCAGAATCAAGAGTGAGAAATAGCAATTTAACACTTTAAGGATCAGGCTGAGGGCCTTAAAATCAGCCGGTGGTGGGAGATCAGGATTGGTGTAATGTGGATGAAAACGCCCCCCAGAACCGCCCACAGAAGATTCCACTGGGGTTGTAGATGAGTGGGGAAGGACCCCTACTGTCACATAAAGGACCAAAGAAACCAGGGAATATTCACATTTGAGGAGCTTAAAACATGACTCAAAAAGATGAATGGATTATCAAAAGAGTTGCAGACTAATTTAATAGTTGACAACCAATCGATTAATTGACTATTGCAGCTCCACTTCCAAATACTTCCCGAAATCTTAGACTTTGAGACTTAGACTTCACTTTATGAATCCCTTTGGGATGACTCCCTCAAGGAAATTGAATCTAAGGGACCACTAACCAACGGCAATGTCGGTCTCCTCGAGTCTTGACTCTTTTTTCTTGTTTAAGCCAAGAAGCCATAGCATGTCTACTATAAGTTCAAAAATACAATGCACAAAGACACAGTACAGTATTCCTGTATTATCCCAGTGCTGGTTTCATTACACTGGCTTTCTGATTGAATTTTAAATCTTTCTATGACATCCTTTATGAGAACCAGGGATCCTGGTTGAGCCCTTAGAATATTCATCCTAAACATGACGTCCCCCCATCAGCTAATCCCTCACCAGAGCCTGGGAGACATTCCCTCCAGTGGCCAGCGATTTGAAATGCCGGCTGTTATAGACCAGTTGCACCTGCTCCAAGTCCAGAGTCTCCAAAACCTCCTGACTGGGCCGGTCCACAACCTGCAGCTTTTCGTGGCTGTCTACCAGGACCAGCGTGCGGCTGTTAATCCACTGCAGAGACACAGAGACAGGAGGAGGACGAGTCAAGCACTACACACTACAGCAAACAAAGATATTTGTCTTTATTCACACATAAGCCATGTAGGAGTTAGACCATAATGATGGATATACTGTAAATATGTACTACTATTGGTACCTTGGTATCCTTGTGGTTCTTATAGTAACCCTTCTTCCTTCAATAAATAATAAAGCATGCTGGCTGCCGTAGATGAGGTCATAAATGAGGACATACCAAGCACTGGCTCTAGATAGTGCCTTTTACTGCCACAGTAGACTCAAAGCCATCTTAAACACTGACTATACAGTGGACCTGAGCCCTTACTGGGAATGTATGTCAAAGTATGTGTGTGTGTGTGTGTGTGTAATGGGGCACTGGACCTGGCCCAGTGTCTTGAGTACTTACACTCAGGCTAATGATGTCACAGCTGAGGTGGAGTTGTCTTTGTTTGATGACATGGATGGTCCCCGTCTCCTCCTTCTTTACCTGAATCAAAAAGAGGTGAACATTCAGACTCTACAAACAGTTGTTCCCACTGATCATTGCTCTCAGAATACTCTGTGTTAAAGCAGTTTAGCATGCTGGGATGTGGGAAATATTACATTAAAAACAGTAGTATTCTAATGTATGTATTTGAGGAGATCTCAGCTCACCTCTTTCAGTAACAAGCTGTTTTTGTCGGTGACTGCATATTTTTGTGTATTTGTGTATGTTTTTTGTAATGGTAATGTACAAAATGAAATAATATTCCTAAGAGAATCACCTGAATGCTGGACCCATAGTGGAACCAACAACCAGACAACATTACAAGTCACATAGATCAGTGGTTCCCAACCCCCAGGAAGGGTCGCGAAGCTTCATGGGGGTTACTAACTTAATGAAATTGTTATTTTACAGTTTAGATTATAATTAAGATCTAAACTACAGACCTGAGCACAAGCGTGTCATTATTATTGGACTAATATGAGACTTCACTCTTTGGTATGCAATATTCACAAGAAATACTATCCTCAAAAGTCATCCAAATTGCTTGTTTTACACAAAATTCTTGCATTTATTTCTTTCAACAATTACAGTGTATGACTTTGTTCTGTACTGTTATTGTTATGCATTGAAAATAATATGAAATATCCATAAAATATGTCACTTAGTCATGGGTCATCATCAATTTACTTTAGTGATAGAAAAGGGTCCCCTTAAGAAAAAAGGTTGGGAACCACTGACGTAGATCACCCGTACTCACAGTAATTAAATCTCTGTTTGCATGCTCTACAAATGAGACAGCATCTACATATCTGGCTGTTTTAGGATCTTAAATTAAACCTATAACTGGTCACTGAGTACATAGATATCAAAACTAAATACATTTTGATAACTGCAGGATCTATTCATAATAATAGTCATTCCTAGCTGAGTGTGGTTCTAAGTACTAGGAGCAGAAGATAAATGTTTTTATAATATATTATCTTATTCAGAGAGTGTAATTGTGTGTGTCTTTTGTGCATGTTGCTATGCTGAAGGTAAGAGGGAGGCGAGCAGGTACCAGGAGGAAGTGGACTGTGTCTCCTTTGCAAAAAGCCAGGATTGGGTTGACCATCTTCTGAACAGGAACAAACTGCCAGGCCAGCTGAGGAACACTGGATGGATCAGACTGAAAGAGAACACATCACATCAGTAACTAACCCTAACACATCAGCCAGATGTTAGTCGGGGTGGCAGGTGGTAACACAGAATTAACCCTGACATTGTATCAATATATCTGTGCCAACATACACTCATTAACAACTAGATGAACAAGCAGGCAGGAATACAGACCTTGCTGTAGGGAAAAGTCATCCAGACTTTCAGCGAGGGCTTAAGTCCAATGACCAGAATCTGGTGAGAGAAAACCAAAAGGCAAAAAAACATCACAAACTTTACACAAAGTGAAGGTGTACAAGCAGAGGATGGAGATGGAGAGTGTGTGTGTACCTTAGTGAGAGAGGCCATAGCCAGCAGAGAGTAGTGTGTGATTGGATGGTCTCTGAAGTCTGGAGGAGCATGCAACGGTTCAATACAGCACACCTCCCCTTTAGACCCACTGAAGAGACATCGAGAGTCACAGGACCGCATCCCCATCACCCTCCTGGAAACAAAGACAAACACAGTTAACAAAAACACACACAATGTGGGCTCCTTCCTGCAGGATTGTGTGGAGGTGTGGTTGTCTATTTTAGGGTGATGAGTCATGAAATATGATATGATGAATATGATGATTTCATCCACTTTCATTTAAAGCATTCATTCATTTCATTTACCTGAAAGCCAGCTCGAAAACTGATCCTCCACTGTCATTGCACACTGCAAGAGTTGGGTCGTCTGTAAACTAGAGACACAAAAAACAGGGAAATAATAACCAGGCCAATACCCATTACTGAGTTTACCGTTTTAAAGATGTTTCATTGGTAATGGTTGTGTATGGGGAAAGCTTTTTTGGCCAGAGAGTGCAACATAGAGCCATGATCCCCATAAAGAGAGGTGGCTCAATGGATGGTAGTGTAGGTAAGTATGTAAGTAAGTAACTAAGTAAGTAAAGCTTTATTTATATAGCACCTTTTTGACACAGAGATCTGTGCTTTACAAACAATAAATATACATAAGGGTGTAACCATACCTAATCAAACAAACATAGGGAGCATGTAAATATAAACAAATGAAGATAAAACAGGAGGGAAGGATGAATTAAAAGAGAGAAGACAGACCCCCAGGGTTTTGAGGAGCCGCTTAAAACAGTCCACAGATTCAGTGAATCTGAGTGATTGGGGAAGACTCCTTTCACTCACCTTTAGTTTTACAGTTAGAGTGGGGAATGGATAAAAGGCAGAGATTTGAGGAGTGAAGTGGCCGAGGAGTGGAATGAGGAACAAGGAGTGAGTGTGTGTGTGTGTGTGTGTGTGTGTTTGTGTGTGTACCTTCACATGCAGTATAGCTGTCCCAGGAGGGTGGGCATCATTGATAGTTCTCAGAAGCTTCCCATTGGCTAGATCCCACATGGTGATCTAATCATACAGACAAACAGCAGGAGAGAGAGAAAATGAAAACTAGTCCATTCTCAAATTTAGTGCATGATATTTGGGTTAGTTACACGTACAGAATTATGCCACTGCAGCAAATACAGGAAAGCCTGAGTATAATCCATTTACAGCTGTCTGGAGTTTTGCTTTAACAGAAATAGACCTGATGAACACATCATTCTATATTCCTAATTATCTACACAGTTAAAATTGAAATGTGTACAAAATAAAAAGATTATGTGAATGTACATAAAAACAACATACATAAAAGGGTTCATGTGATTCTGGAGAAGTGTGTGCTCAGCTGCAACACTCCCTCCACCACCTCAAGAGTGAGCAGGTGCCTTAAGAGCTGCACAAAAATGCTGCAAGTTCATTTCCATGGAGTTTCTACAGTAGCCCAGAAGGGACAAACTGCCTCTAGATACGGCCATTCATGTTTTTCATGCGGCCACCACAGTTTGTCCTCCGTGCTTGGAAGGGATGGGTGAAGCGAGGGAGTTGCGATCTGCACCAAATCATACACACTGGTCCTTTAAGCCCTAATCCTTAGACCAGAGGTCACTCTCTCGCCTCCAGCTAGTTCAGAATGCAGCAGCTCAGCTTCTTACTGGTTTTAACAGGCAAAATGACATCGCCCCAAACCTGGCTTCTCTCCACTGACTCCCTGTTTGTTTTACTGATGACTTTTAAAGCACACCTGGGTCTGGCCCCAAGCTACATAGCAGAAATGTTGACCCTTGTATTTTTGGTATTCATTATTTCTCTAATTAATTATGTTTTGTGTATCACAGCTATAATTTTGCCACACCATGATTGGAATTCACCAAGCTGCTCTCAATTAGTATTAGGAGACAGACCCTGAATAACCTTCCAATCAACTCAGACATTTCAACATCTACAACAGATTGGGAAAAGGAAAACACCAAACAATGCGTGATTGCTACATATCTGTGTAATGTGTAAAGGTAGATTATGTTATATATGGATAACAAAAGCATAAAGTATGAGTGTGCATGTTAAATAATATGCCTTTAAAAACAATGTGCACTTAAGCCAAAGAGCTGCATACCGTATTTTAATACCCAGCAGCGAGCCAAACTTGCTCCTAATCCTGTGTGCGTTACCTATGGTAATAGTGGTTGAAATTGTGAAACCAAGTGAAGATTCAGTGACTTTAACAACCTGAGACTTTCAGTTACAACCATCATCTCTCTCAGAGCACCACTCACCCTCATCAGGAGCAAACACCACGTACTGTTTTCACACCACGAGTAGAAACCCTGTTGAACTTTAACCAGCTGTTGTTAGAGTCATTAGTGTCCCGTCTCCACTCTAATCAACACCCAGTTGACAAGCCTCTGATTGTATGGATGTGTGTCTGAGTATGTACCTGTCCTTTGGCGAACCCGCAGAGAAGTCGTGAGCAATCGTGGTTGATGGTGAGGGCGGAGACGGCTCCAAACTCTGCCCCAGTTGCCTTGGTACCCAGACAGAGCCGCAGAGCCTGGTTGGTGTCTGGAGTGGAAGATGAAGAGAGCATTTAACTGCTGAAACAGGGGTAAGGCTTAGAGAAGGGGAGGATGGTAAATACATTAAAATAAAAAGGGAAACTCATGGTTTTACCAGTCCTCAGTGTAAAAACAATCAAACAGCACATCGATACCAAAACACAACACACTGACACCAAATAAAGAGCTGGAAATGCGGCAAATAAAAAAACTAAATCAAGCAACAAAGCATGCACCAAAGTAGCTCAGCCAAACCAAAATGGACATGAGCGGTGACTCTTTGAAGCCAGTCAACACAAAATGAACAACATTAAGCATGAGTGACCCATGTGACAGGGATGTTCATACCTTTTCCTGTCCAGGCATCATTATGTTAGCAATATAAAGAGACACGGATCAGCCCCAATCACACTCCAAACAACATCACAGCATGAACTGAGACTTAATTAATCATTTGGTATCTGTTGAAACCAGCAGCTCATCTCCCCCTGGAAATGACAATAATCCAAACAACATGCTATAAACTTAATGTGTCCTCTCTTGCTCTTTCTTTTAGCCAACTCCAGCTTCTACCTAAACCAGGTCCAGGTTTTGGCTACGTTCACACATTGTTTTTGTCCATATGTGACTCAGATCTGTTTTGTGAGTGTGAACAGCAAAAATCACATAGAATCTCTTCTAGGGATTTTATCTCTGGAGACAGAATACAGTTGTAGTAGTTTGATTTCTTGTTAGTTGGACAGTTTCTTCCTCTCTACCATGACTCCCTCTTGTTGCAAGTTCCCAGCACTGCAGAGGCATGCGTTTGATGTCATTGTCTTGCAATGAACAATTGTCAGAAAAAAATGCCGGCATCAGTAAACGGAATTGATACGCTTGGAGGCATACGATTCTGATGGATCGGACAATTTGAAACCAGTTCAGTTTCTTTGAAGGTCATCCGACTTTCTTCCTGGCTCTATATAAACCGTTTATTTGTTCTTATTTTAGACACAGTTTTGGAAATTCTTTTGGCAACTTTTCCACAAAACAAACTCAAACTGTAATGCTAAGAGACCATTCATGTAAATGAAATCGGGAGGAAAAGTTAAAGAAATCTGCAACTTTCCCTGTTTTAAGGAAAACAACTGTTCTTCAGTCATCTTGTGAATATTTGGAGACACTGTTCTTTTTGGATTCAGCTGGATAATTAAGTTTTACAGAGCATTTTTTTAGCTTTTGTTATCTTTCTCAAATCAAGGCAAACCAGTGACTCAGTTTTTGTTCAATGTATTATTTGGCAGTTGTGGTTTAATCATTCTGATTGTATGTAACAGACTGTTTTATCAATGGAGAGAGGTCTAAAGATTCTGTCAAACCAGCAGGGTTTTTGATGGTATTTCTACTTCAGGGAAAAGTTTTAATGTATAAAATGGCTGCAGACAGAGAGAAAGATTTACATTCAAATGTGGTTTGGACCATTGTTTTTCTGATTACAGATATTGGGCCTCAGTACTAGAGCAGTGCAAAGAAACATGAACAGTTACTCAAAAGATACAGGTAACAGGCTCAGCCCTAAATTTTCTGCATAAGAGTAACATGTACACCCTGTGTGGGCTGCTGCTTTAGTGCTCTGGCACATTCTTTATTCCAATTCAAGCTCTGATGACTGCTACTGCAAATATTACTCATATGACTGATATGATTGCTGATAAAGGCTAATGCTTTTATTGGTTCTACTGCTGTTAAATACTACCATTATCATGGCTCCAACTATTAAGGGTACTGTACGCTGATACCATTACAACTAATGCTGGAACTACAACTGCTACTGAAACCACTGCCATTGACAGTCCCATTATTTTTATTTCAAATGTACTATTACTGTCTCCACTTAAATGGCAACACTACTACTGTAGTAAGGTTTTACTTGTACCTAAACTGTAACATGCTACCACTATGACTTAGTGCTACTACTATCATCACCTACTAAACACATTTTAACTTTTATCTGTCCTGTATGTACTGAAACTTTTTAAAGACAGTTTAACTATTTTTAAATTGATCTAATACTCTTCTTCCCTTTAAACCAGTCACACTTAACTTACAGCCAGTGTGTCAAATCTGGCCTGCGATAGGATGCCGGGAGCCCACAGACCATTTTCTAATTCACAATAAAAAACAAACTGATTCACACTAGGAATTTTACAATTAGCAAATTGTTCAATAATGTCCCTTCAATGTTATCAGGGAATATTTTCTAGGACCTTTTCAGGACATTTTCCCAGTTTTTCTTGACAATATAGGACAGCACTTGCTCACAAATGGTGGTAAGCGATAGGCGGTCCTCTTTTTTTTTTGGATGTTCCATGACAGCTTGCTTTCGTGGCACGCTTAGTTGTTCTCACCACAGCCGATTTTTCCCCTTTCCAAATAGAACTTTTTCACAGCAGCCATTATGACATGAAATAGTAGGGTGAACACAGGTGTTACCAAGGATACTAATTAAGTATCTGATAAATAGTAGTAACTGATTAAGGCTTCATTCCATTTAGTGTAGCAGAGCCTTTCCAGTGAACATGCACAACAGCAGCACCCTGACTCTGTTTGACCTGAATGAAACTGAACCTTAATACTGATTAATGTTCAGTTGTTGACAACACCTGTGTTTGTCAAAATAGCTCCTTAGAAAATGTTCTACAGCGGACAACAAGCTTTCATCTAACTGTAACATGTATTTGGCCACAGCACGGGATAAAATACAAAGTAAAATTTTCCAGGATAACATGGATTATTTTCAGGATATTTGATTTGATTTTAACCAATCTATAACTGGAAAACTAGTCTCCAAATTTCCAGGACATGTGGAAACCCTGGTTACTTGGGACATTGCATATTAGCCTACACACAATGAAAGAGCTAAAAAGGACCAGACAATTTTGTTGCATCTAAGTGGTGAAGTTTCAGATTGCAACCAACTGAACTTAACTGAACACCGCTTGCATCTGTATTTGATCACCTGGGAATGAGATAGGCTGTAAAGTCTTGTAGAGAACTACGGCTTGAAAAGGTCCTCATCTAAGAGCCAGTGGTTTGGTTGTCCGTTCTGGCTACTGAAGAAACCACTGGCGGTTCAACATGGTGGACCTCCAATGGAAGGCGACCTACTCCCCTCCCGTAGATATAAACCAGTCTCATTCTAAGGTAACGAAAACACAATGATTCTTATATTCAGGTGATTATACACTAATGAAAACATAACTATGAATAATATATTCCTTTTCTAACAACAGATCTTCCTCAATGTTACACACTGGACCTTTAAATATTCATTATGTCCCTGGTAGAAGCAGTTTATGAATTATTCCAATGTCTGAGTGACTGTATGATAGAAGAAGTTTGGGATTTAATTTTGTATAATCTCTTTAAAATGTAACCAAGCATTTACAACTGAAATGCAACTGCAGCTATTAAATGCAATAAAATATCTGATATATCTGTCATACAGGCCCGGTGTCAACCCTTGTACCCACTTCATTCAGTAAATAAGTTAAGTAGTAAGTCAGTTAATTGGGTAATAAAGAATTTCAAAGAAAGATTGGTTATGGACCTTTTAATGTTTATTCATTTTATCTGATAAATATTAATGTCTGGTTATTAACTGGCCTCCGGTCATTCAGAAAAAGTACTCCCCAGGCAAAGCAAGTTAGGTATCTCTGATTTAACACTCTGAATTTAGTACACTGATGTGTGGCCACAGACCACAAGGATCAAATCAGCCTTATCATTCTGACCTGGGGAGAAAACATACAGTAATGTTTGTGTTTCTTGTGGTCAAGTATTTTTTGAACAGTGCTTGTGTAATCATAAATTCACTGTGTGCAGAGCCCTGTATTAAGGAACACACTGTATTCTTGATTCTGCTTTTCAACTGGGTGCCATCTTCAACTACAGTTCACTTAGCAGTCTCATTTATTGCTCCTCCTTATTCTCTGTTTTCTACTGTTACCCTGTGAACATGGCAGACCAGTGAGTCTTTACCCTCCTGATGTCCGCCCTTTACAAATAATGGATGCCCATTTTAAAAGGTTCAAACAAAAGCTTACATTGGTGTAATCAGCCTGAGCCAATCATGATAAGGTGTTGGCAAGGTCCGGGAAAAGAAGGGGGGAGCTGATACTGGACGGGAGATAAGGAGGGAGGCAACTGGTACCTAAAGGTCCTGATTACCTAAGTCAATAAAACCCAGTGTGTGAGCGGCTCATGTGCACTTTAGCATCACATCCTGCCTGAAAGCTGGACCAACAGTCAGTCAGCTCAAACAACTGGTTTTGGTTCTGCAGGTCATAAAAGGTAAGTGCTCCTACATTTACTTAATGTGTGACTTTAGGCATCTTTACTAGTATAGGCTGATGATATGTTAAAGTATCATGAGATTTATTTCCACAGACATTGCTTTTGTTCATTCATTTGAGTCTGTCGGTCAAATGGAAATAAAATTAACTGAAACACAAATCTTAAATCTGATCATAATACAACAAAACCAAAATCAATAACAACAAAACAACCACAAAACTATTAATAAAATCAATAAACTGTTCTAAAATAAATGCAAATGGTGTGCCTAACTAATAATTACAACACAGCTACATTAAGTACACAACCATACATAAAACTAATAATAAAAAAAAAAAACTTATTTCCTTTGAAGTCTGTTTGGTAACATGCTCCATTCTAAAGAAAACTGGATGTTTTAAGAAGTTCATCTTAGGCTCTAGACAGGGCAAAAAAATTTGCACCGGACAAATGCTGGTAAAATATGCAAGTGGCTGCTAGATTTGCTTAACTTATCAGACACAAAAAACAGTGGTAACCTACTGAGTGGCAGGTCAAATCTGAACATTCACTTGCCATTAGACTGGTAGACAAGAAAGGTCATTTTGCACCCTGGCTCTGGGGACTAACTAACTGAAATTTATCCACAAACCAAGTGTTGAATGTATGTGTCTGACCCGAGTACTCTCAAAAGGCTCTCAAAGATTCAAGTACACCTTAAAAAATATAAATTTCCTCATGAGTGTGATCTGGCTTCAACTGAGAGCCCTGACAGTTTTGCTGTCTTCTGTTCTGATGTTAGCAAACATTGACCCATTTATCCATTAATAATAATATTAATGGATAAATTCCAGGGGGCTGGCTCACTGCCATGGTTTACTGACACACCTTGGTTAAATGGAACACAGCCATCACCATTACTTGGCATTGGTCCATCTGTGCTTTTCCAGCGATAAGTGCATTTACATGCACTTAAATAACCGGATTACAGTCGGCTTACTCCAGTGAGTGATCGGGGTAGGGGGTTCGGTAGGTAGATTTCATATTATCTTAAAAACTGTACAATGAACCCAGATAGTGCACCTTTGTGTAAAACAAGTGATTTGGATGAATTTTGAGAAGATTATTTTCTGTTTAGGAAACTTCTTATACAATTCCCTGAGGCTTGGCCATTGTTCTACTAGACAATTTACGTTACTTTAAAATGTACTTTAATTCACAGACGTGAAATAACTACTGAGATATAGACCTACACACGTTTTTAAAGTTTTCTAGCTAAAATCTACAATGCCTTGCTACCCCTCATGAAGCTTTGGCGACCCCTATGTTGGGAACAACTGCTCTAGCTGGCCTAACAAACACTTATCAAGCAGAGAAGACCAAGCCTGCTTCAGAGACGTTGATTGAACTGAAATGATGTTGTCTTTGTCTCTTGTTCACAGCCAGCCTCTTCCCCTGCCGCTGCTCATCATCATCATCACAATGCCTCATCGCAACTGCTCCATTGAGATTAACAACTCCTCTGGCTGCTACACTCTCGCCAATCCAAGGTTAGGTGTTGCTTTCGTCTTTTTTAGAAAGTATTGAGAGTACTTTTCAAACCTGACCATGGTGCCAGTATTATTAGAGTTATTGGCTTCAGTTTTTAGTTTAGTTAGGATTTTGTCAATATTGACATGCTACACATCAGATCGGTTAGATTCTCCACAATTCAATCATGAATTCGTAATAGTTCCTTTTTACAGAAACCATGAGCTAATCCTAATCAATATGTTATTCTTATTTTTATACAAGTAATATTCATACTGGTTTAAATAAACAATTTCATAATATTTTCCATCGTTGCTGAGTTTTGTGCAAAAGGAATGAAAGGTCTGTCCCATAAAGACGCTTGTTCAAAATAAAGGCAGGTTAAGTTCAGTCACTGAAGTAAATAAAAACCTGGGCTATTCATTGAAGTAGATGCTTTTATCTTTAAAAAATCTTCAAATGTGGTTGTCTTTTCGATATAGATTAGCCCAGCACATCAAATCTAAATACAGGACAGGAGGAAGTTGACTGAGGTTCTGACCGAGGCTTACTCAACTGTGGAGCACAGAGCAAAAAGGGGCAGGACTCAGAACAGGGCAATTGAGACTGTTTGTGGATGTAACCTGTAGGATGTTGTGTGAACCACTCTGATATGTTATGTCTCTGTGTGCAGGGTGTTCACTGAGAGTGGCTGCTGTGAGGTCCCACTGCCACCCATGCTAGGACCCTGCTCCGCTGCCAGCGCACTATTCAACAAGACCACCGGCGCTGCAACCGGAACCGTCGGCGTATTCACCTACGACCTTTTCAACGCCGACCTCAACGACTACAGCCACGTCATGGCAGTCATGTTCTCCGTGCCCTATGACCGAAACCTCTACTCCAACTGGTTTGCTGTGGGGATCTTTGAAAGAGGGAACGACTGCGACTACAATCTTTATGATATAATGTATAATGGAAGCGAAAATAATTTTGTAAGAGCAAAGGCTGACGGCTCCTGCATTTCCTATGAGGGCGATTATGTTATTGTCAGTGCCTCCATGTCAGACTCAGGTGAAGCGGTGCTGAGGGTGGATATCAATGATACTGGAATGTATTAAGTCAAATGAAGAAAGATGCTACTGTTGTTATGCCATTTGAGATGATCACAGCCATTTTAATAAAATATTTCAAACTCAGTCACTAGCTGAAGTGGTGTTCATTAATTAATATACTTGAGTGTGTGCACATGATTGTACACTTAATATTAGTTATTTAAGGTTTTCAAAAGCTTAACTTTTTAGTGTCCAAATCATGCCTTCTTTGTATTTCTCCATGTATAGATAAAATTCAACTCTATAGGGACTGAATTTGTTATTATTGGCATTTTCTTACAGAGCTAAAGCAGATTTCATTGGGCTTCCACAGATCTAGGTGATACAGGGCCGTTTCTGGCATTTTGGTGCCCTAGGACAGATACCTTTTTATTACAAACAGGGTTCTCTGTGCATCTTCCAGCAACATGCAGCTGAATCAAGTGCTTCTCAGTTCAAGGACAGCAAATTTGCAGAGAACAAAGGACTGGAGCACGCTGATTCATTTGCAGCCTTTAATTGAGCAAACAGACTAACATTTCATCAGTACTGTGTCTTCATCAGTGCACACTGATTAATTTCCAGCCTTTATTTGTCCAACCAGACTTAACATTTCGACACTAACAAATCTGTTTGCACAATTAAGGTGCTCCAGTCCTCCTTTGTTCTGTGCAACCTTTTTTTTTAGAGATCCAATCCGATCCAATATCGGTATCAGGTGCCAATAGTGATGTAATTCGCACAGATGTCACCATTCTGGATTCCATAATTTGATGGTTTTATGAATTATAAATGTGTAATACTGCAATTTCATAGGCAAATTCTTGCAGCACAAATTAAATCATGACCCCTATTGTGATGAAGTGCAATTCAACATGATTTGATTCAACACAATGCGATTCACTGCAATATGATGCAAAATAATGAGAATGAGAAAGAAGAACTGACTGTCTAAGAGGACCTGTTTGAATTTCATGATATGGTTTTTGCTCTGACGTGCAATGTGATACACTGAGTGAGGCTTGTGTTTGGCACTAATAATACAGTATGCCTGTGTTTAGGGTGTATGAGAAGAACAGGCACTAGAGGGTAGCAGAGTTTGTACAAGCTATGGTCAATAAGAGTTTGTGGTTGAGTGCGTCTACGACATAGTGAGAGATTTTTTTTTATCGTGCACATAAACCTTCACCACTGTTACCTTACTCTGCCTTTTCATGGTAGGTTTTCAACAAATCACACAATATGTAATGAAGCCAAGAGAAAAAAGTAAACATGACTTTAGAGGAGAAGGGATGCATGCACAAAACAAAAGTCTTTTTCTGGTTGGAAGGAGAAACACACCTACTGTTAAACATTTTTAAAGACTTGGATATCAACAGGTTTATGGATATGCACAAATATGAACAACGACCTTTTCAAGAAGGTGGTGGAACAAACAGAAGTCAACAACCGGTAGAAAACTTTGAAAACCCTTTTTGATGCAAAATGGCTCAAGCTGCTTTTACCACGGGAGCTACATTACTGCAGTTTGAAAAGGAGAAAGAATCCTCTGTGGGATGTACAGTACGACCGGATTATGCAACAGGAATATTAGTGGAATATACATTTTCATCAGCCATGTTAACAGGAATATTGTCTTATTCAGAATAAGGAAAAAACAGAATATTTTGTGCGTGTAAATGTAGTGAGTGAGGCACCAGGACATCCTTAGAAATATAATATCTTTCATTAAATTTATCACAGCAGCCCATGTCAACTTGTTTTGATAGAAAATAACTGGTGACTACACTTCCTCAGCTTTATATACACTGTTTGTGTTGCATTTGCATTGTAATAAGTTTAAGATGTGAAAATATCCTTAACACCACTGTGTGCATATAAATAAAAGGAGGGTAAATCAAGTTTAGACTTACCAAAGACCAGAGCCAGACCATGAGATGTTCCCACAGCGATCACCCCTGACACTGTCTGAACACAAACACACAGCTCAGAATGGATGAGGCAAAACACCATCAAAAAATGTGCTACCAAACTCACCTCCACCAGCACACACACCCACCTGAGGGTCTACTTTCTAGTCAGTCATTATAAAAGTCTGAATGTTTTTTCAGTAGCAGTACTCTTATTGACCTGCATTTTTATAAACTTTTAATTAATCACATTCTCTTTCTGCTTCTCTTCTACTAGAGTTGCAATGATTAGTCGATTAATTAATTTGTTGTCAACTATTAAATATATAACCAACTATTTTGAAAATTCAATCATCATTTTGGGGCATTTTATAAGAACAAAATGTCTAAATTCTCTGATTTCAGTTTCTCAAATGTGAATATTTTCTGCTTTCTTTAGTCCTCTGTCTGATAGTAAACTGAATATCTTTGGGTTGTGGACAAAACAAGACATTTGAGGATGTCACCTTGGGCTTTGGGAAACACTGATGAACATTTAGCACCATTTTCTAACACCTAATCAATTAATCGAGAAAAATAGACATATTCATCACTAATGAAACTAATCCTTAGTTTCAGCCATATCTCCTACATCTTTCTCACCATTTTCATACTTTAGTACAGAGTTCTGTGTCAGTGCTGTGGCTTCTTTGAAAATATGTTCAACCTTGCTGTTGTATTATTGTATAAGACTTTCTAAAAACATCCCTATGGCATTGTTGGTAGTTCTGTTTATTAAAGTTCATCATCATTGCGATTTACATAAATACAAAAACCTTGAATGTGAGGCATTCCAGTGGCCTAATGGTTATTCCACATACCAGCAACGTGTAAGGATCGATTCCAGCTATAGATATTCTACCCCTGTCCACTTGTCTACTAACACTTTTACCTTCTATTTATTTCCATAGACTGTAAAAAAGGACGTAGACTTTGTGACGTCAGCAATAGGTTTCTGAAGAGCCATGGCAGTCCTGACTCTGCCGGCTCCTGGTTAATCCAAAAACGGGCAAATATGTGAAGCGTGGGTGGTGCTGAATTAGGCTAAATGAAGCCTGGTTACTGAAAACAACTTCCTGTGACGGCACCCACCTGTCACACAAAATGGTCACACCCTTAATTATGAATAACTTTAAGCTTTAATAAAATAACAGATATATTACATGTCAGTTGTCATGAATGAGGAAATTAGCTATAGAGACCAAAACTGTACCAGGCTGAAATAATGTTTATTTCTGCTGTAAAGTTAATATGGGGCCTTATGGAGGTTGACTCACTGCTGGAGCCAGCCATTAGAGGAACTGCAGTTTTTGTTAAGTCCATGTTGGCTTCATTTGCAGCCACAGAGGTTGCCGCTTGTTTACTTCCCATGTCTCTAGAGTAGACCATACAAAGTCAGCCAGCAAAATAGCAATAGAGTCTTTTAGCTTTTCCTTTAAGCTAATATCATGTCTCTTTGTTCAGCTGAATAAACTATGAAATACTCACTATAGCAGTTGGCAGTCCAGCATCCACTTTGTCCTGAGGAAAACATACAAATGTTTTATTATGCTTGAATACAATCTTACACTTAAATCAACTCCAAAAATAGTCATCATTAGCTCCCTAACAGCAACTCTTAAGCACTCACTGTTCTGGGATGTTTTATCATTTCATTTGGTTCACATATCTTGGATATCTGTATCTCAATCAAAAACACTAAAAACAAACAAGGCTGTCTATTTGTCAGCGTTTGAGGATGTCGAAGACTGGTGTCCTCTTTTTTCTGTGTGTGTGTGTGTGTGTGTGTGTGTGTGCGTGAGTGCCTTACAGCAGCAGAGACGATCTGTGCAGAGATGCCCTTCAGCAGACTGTGTCGAAGAACAGACCCGTGAACTGTTGCATTCAGATCCACTGTCCTCCTCTTTCTTCACACATGTACACGTCCACACACACAAAGAAGACATTTTCAATGTTATTACCTTGTTTGTACAAAGATGGTATGTATCAAAAGTAGGAAAAACATTTTAATATATGGTTTGTAGTTAGAAATTTTAATTGCTTTAGTTTGCATAAACATTTCTATTCATTATGTATTTATTTTTTACTTAAAATTGCTTTAATACATTTTTTTATATTTATTGTTATACAGAGTAAGTAAGTAATTAAGTAAGTTTATTTATATAGCACATTTAAAAAGCAGAATATCACCGACAATTATAACTTATAAATCAATTTTACTATATATCATTTTTTTACATATATTTTTTGTTTTTCACAAGTAGCATAAAGGAAACTACGACCTGAATTCCATTATACAACCCTGACCAATGGCAATAACCTTAAAAATGCTTTACAACAAAAATAAGGCAAAATACAGACTTAAGAATAAAAACACCATGAAATAGAAATAAATCAAAATAAAAGTAAATAAAAAAATTACACAAAGGCAAGTCTTAACAAGTGGATCTTGAGCTGCTTTTTAGAAAGGTGTCCACAATGTCCACTGATCTGAAGTCCAAAGTTAAAGAGCCATAGCATCAAATGCTACACTCACACTGCAAGCCTTAAAGCTCAATTCGAATCTATTGCACAGATTTTTGTTTGGCTGTCCAAATTATTTTTTAAATGTGGCTCATATCAGATTCCAGTGTGAACAGGTTATGGTCCTGAAGTGACCCACATGAAAAATGTAGATCTAAAGTGACATAAAACTGATTGTTCACGCTGAGGTCACATTGCAGAAATCCAACCTGTATCAGATTTGGACCACATATGAAAGTGGCCCCAATCAGAACTAATAAGATCGGATTTTATGAAAAACATGAAAAACAGATATTTATTACTCATATACACATATGAGTAAAAACAAATCTGATTTGGGTCACTTTGACCACGTTCAGACTGCAGGTAAAAGTGGCCCAAAATCTGATTAATCTTTTTTTGGGGTCAAGTGACCAGGTCAGACTTCTTCAGAAGTAGTGTGAACACTCAAATCTTATACAGATCTTATTTTTTCAAATCAGATTTAGA